GCAGCAGTGTGCTCAGCTCTCTGCGGCATGCAGCATCTCACGAGCATTCACTGGCAAGTACTGAGGTCAACTACTACTGCTGGTGCTTGCATGCTCCTAAATTTTCCCCATCATCAATAGGTGACAGAGTTTCAATGAAGCACAGAGAAAATTTAATTAGGAGCAGCAACTTATTCTTGAGGGGACTGCCCCAGCAACCCCTGTGGTCTGACAGCCACCCTGACTGCAGTGATGGAGAGAAAAAATCTACCTAGCCCTTGGGAATAGCTGACACCTGCATGCAGAAGAGGAGCAGTACTGAGCATGGGAAGTGAGTCAGCCTGCAACAGTCCTGGCTGTGGCTGTCACAGAGGGTCTGCAACCTGCCTGAGCCCATGGTGGGTATCCATAGCAAAGCCCCCTTTTAACGTCAAAACCCACTCCCACTAGCTACTGCCATAAATTCTCCCCACTTTGTTTTAACACCATAAAGATCTAAATTAATCTGATAGGCACATACAATGAATAATTCAAATATCCCTAATCATTAGTCAGTTTTACTAAGCTCAACAATTACATGGTCAAGAAGAGGAACTTCAGTCACCTAACACTAATTTCTTAATGAATTCTTCATTATCCAAAGTCTGCAGTTTTGGGAGCCTCAATATAAGATGTAAAGCTGCTAGAAAGTGTCCAAAGGAGAGTGACAAAAATGGTGACAGGCCTTGAGGGAAGGCGTATGAGGAGCGGCTGAGGTCACTTGGTCTGTTCAGCCTGGAGGAGACTGAGGGGAGACCCCATTGCAGTCACAACTTCCTCATGAGGGGAAGAGGAGGAGCAGGCACTGATATCTTCTCTGGTGAGCAGTGACAGGACCCAAGGCCAGAAGTTGTGTCAGGGGAGGGTTTAGGTTGGATATTAGGAAAAGGTTCTTCACCCAGAGGGTGGCTGGGCAGGGGAACAGGTTCCCCAGGGAAGTGGTCACAACACCAAGTCTGCCAGGGTTCAAGAAGTGTTTGGATCTGTTTGGACAATGCTCTCAGGCACATGGTGCGATCCTTGGGACTGGCCAAGAGCTGGGCTCTAAGATCCTTATGCATCACTTTTCATTTAGATTATTCTTTTACTCTATGAAATTGACTTAGGTCCTAGAACTTTTATTTGAATAATAAATCTTCCCATTTTCTTAATAGGCCCACTGGCCCACTCCTTCTCCCCACCCCACTAAAAAAAAAAAAAGAAAACTTACTAAAACCAGAAACATCTCTGGAGTTAATCCTGCTTTCTTATTTCTTATATGACACATAAGTTCCATGATGCATAATAATAGGCTTTACTGCCCCTTTTTTACTGCACCTGCTTTACTGACAAGATTAGCTTTGGATGATGCTTTTCTTGATTCAGAGGACTTCTCTTATAAAAGAAAATTATATATATTTTTTAAATAAAATATTTAATTCTATTTATTATAAAATACCTCATTCATTTTAAATTTGTGGGTTTTGGTATGGATGGTCTGAGGAAGTATCTGTGCCACCAGGGCTCACAGTCTGCAAAAAATAGGTCATGGGGTATAAGTGTGAGTCCAAGTGCTCCACCCCAGGAAATCACAGCAGGGATCACAGGGTGTAGAGGTTTGACCCTGGTTGGAACTCAGGCACCCAGCACTCCCTCTATCACTCCCCTCCACATCTGGACAGGAGAGAGAAAATATAACAAAGGTTCATAAGCTGACATAAGGACAAGAGAGATCCCTCAACAAATACCATTACAGGCTAAACAGACTGAACATGGGGATATTAAGCAAATTTATTACCAATTAAATCAGAGCAGGATAATGAGAAGTAAAATAAATCTTAAAAACATCTTCCCCCCACCACTTCTCCTTCTCAGACTCTATTTCCTCCCCTCAGTGGAGCAAGGAGTGGGGGTCATGGTCAGTTCATCACAGATTGTTCTTGCAGCTGCTCAGGGAGGGGAGTCCTTCCCCTGCTCCAGCATGGGATTCCTCCCACAGGAGGAAGTTCTTCATTAACTTCTCCAGCATAAGTTCAATCCACAGACACAGTTCTTCATGAACTGCTGCAAGGTGGGTTACACTTCCATGGGGTGCAGTACTCCAAGGACAGCCTGCTCCATCATGGGTTTCTTTCTCTGAGGTGCAGTCCTTCAAGCACAGCCTGCTCCAGCATAGATCTCCCACAGGGTCACAAATCCTACCAGGAAACCTGCTCCAGCACGGGCTCCTCTCTCCGTGGGTCTGGAGGTCCCTGCCAGGACCCTGCTCCAGCATGGGCCTCCCATGGGTTCACAGCCCCCTCTCGGGCATCCACCTGCTGTGGCCTGGGTCTTCTCCAGGGGCTGCAGATGGATCTCTGCATCTCCAGGGACCTCCAGGGGCTGCAGGTGGATCTCTGCATCTCCAGGGACCTTCAAGGGCTGCAGGTGGATCTCTGCATCCCCAGGGCCCTCCAGGGGCTGCAGATGGATCTCTGCATCTCCAGGGACCTCCAGGGGCTGCAGGGCCACAGCTGCCTCACCATGGTCTGCACCAGGGGCTGCAGGGGAACCTCAGCTCTGGTGCCTGGAGCACCTCCTGTCCCTCCTTCACCAGCTTTGGTATCTGCAGGGCAGTTCCTCTCACACATTCTACTCTGAGCCAAATTACATCTTCACAGTAACTTCTTTCCTTCTTAAATCTTTTATCACAGCATTACCACCATTTCTAATAAGCTCAGCTTTGTCCTGGGGCACATCCATCCTGGAGCCTCCTGGCACTGGATCTGCTGGGCATGAAGAAAGCTTCCAGCAGCTTCTCACAGTAGCCATCCTGGTAGCACCCCATCTACCAAAACCTGTCCATGCAAATCCAGTGCACAGGGGCACACCAAGCCTTAGCTTTTGAGCATTAACATGTGCTCTAAGAATGCACTTGGTCACCGCGTGTGCCTTATGTTTGTCAGTGAAAAACTTCGGTGTCCGTTTTATAAGTTTTTAGCCCTTTTAGTTAAGTATAGCACACCTTATGTTTTTACTCAAGTCTATTATATCTACATTTAAAACTTTTCATAATATAGATAAGTTAGATAAAATGTTTAAAGACAGATATACATAAAATAACATTAGAACTTTCAAGACTAATACACCTTATATTCTAGCAAATTTAGTTAAGCATAAGGAGGGGGGGAAATGTGGACAGCTAAGGTCTGGCAGACGGAAGATATCAGGATGTACGGAAAGACAGAGTCACCCCCCTCCTCAATAGTTTATGGTAATGACCCCCGTAATTAGCCAATAGCACCTAGCTGTGATGAAAGCAGATGGGAGTGACACAGTGAACCTAGGTTATAAAGTGTCAAATTCTTCAGCAATAAACGCCATTTTGCCATCCACCACATTGGTGTTGTGTGCTGATGGACCGAGTGACCTGGGGGGGGTTGCCGTGCCGTTCCTGAACCAGGCCATCTGCCTTGCAGAAGGCAATAACATGGAAAATGGCAGATGAACAAGGAGCAAATATATCAATCAAATTCTTCATAGTTTTTGTGACCAGCTGCAGAGCAAGCAGGATTTCCAGCAAACACAGGACTGGCTGGGGAAGAGGCAGAGCTGTTAGTGGTATGTGAAGTCAGCTTTTCAGTTTATCATTAAGATAAGGTATTTTCTTTTGTATACTATAAATTAAAGAGGAGGGGGAAAAAACCCAGCCAGACGGGTAGGCACAGAAACATCCTGGTAGCAGACAAATACAAAAGCAGGGCACTGGTTCCGTGGCCTCCCAGTGCCATCAGGTTTAGGCAAGTATGCAAAATGGACTGAGCTCTGTGCTTCTGGCAGCTTCCCTCCTGCCTTGTTGACTCCTCCCTTCTCCTCAGCTGCCTGCCGCAATGAGCGCAGCATGGCTCAGGTGAACCCTGAAGTCAGCTCCAGATTACCAGCACAGCTGTGGCCTTCTGTTTCAGAGCCGAAGCCACTGATTTTGTGCGTATCCTTAGCACCAGAGAAGTTCAGGTGTCTTCACCTTCATACATGCTGACCTTGATGCACTCCAAATGGTATCTTAATTACTTGAAGCTTCCCTGATTGAGTACAGGGTCTGGATCGGCTTTGTTGGGCTGAGACACAATTTCTGAGCCGAGGAAGTTTTTCTCGTGCCTTTTTCTCCTAGGTGTTGACGAAACAGTGCCACTTAAGGCAACAAGGTTGTCAAGCTAATAACTCAGTCATTTAAGAAAGGGGAGAAAAAGGCTCAGTGCTCAGCACTGCCCTGAGCACCTCTGGCTGGCACAAAATCCCCTCCCGCCTGCAGTTGCCACACACCCACTCATCTTAGAGATGGTTAGAAATATTCTCCCCCTACAAAAAAGTAACCTAAATACAAGAGGAACAGCTCTAATTTTCAGATTGAGGTATTGCTTTCTACCTTTACTCTTTGGACTGCAGTAGTTGCACCAGCAACACAATCCTTTTTGCAGAAGTGTAGGCAGAGATCTTAGAGTCATAGAATGGTTTAGGCTGGAAAAGATCAGTAAGATCATTGAGTCCACTGTGAAACTAATACCACCAAATCCACCACTGCAACCAGCCACCAAAGAAGAGCTCTTTCAGCTGGTTGTTCAAGATTTTGTGCGTTTTCTAAGTGATGAATAAAATTTTGTTCAACTCAAATTTCCCATTACAAGAAATTTGCCTTTGGTAGTGTGCTACAGTCTCATCTGCTCTATCCTGTAACCTGCAGAGACATTCCAGTCCACATGAACATGAAGACCAATTTTCCTCAGTTTCCACTTTTTGAAAATCTGTTCTGCCTCAGAAAAACATCAGTGCACAGTAACCTGACTAAAAGCAGGCAAGATCCTGTTTCACTCTGAAACTGCTGTTTTGCTCACACTGAGTTCAGCATGTCTTTTCCTTGCAACCTGCTTTCCAGCCAGCCCTCTGGCTTTGTCTGACCTCTCTGCTCAGCCTCACTTTCATTCAGAGAAGACAGCACAAGAGCATCCAACCTCCCTGTCTCCACAATGGCCTGTGATTTATATCTATTATTTATATATATGATTTATATACAACTTCTGATTTTCACAGTGCTCACCTGTGCCAGCTGCAGAGCACCCAGCACCGCAGAGACAATGTGTGTGGAGGGGAGCGACAGCCGCCGTCCCTCTCGATGTGCGGGAGCTGCAGACTGGGGTAAGCACTTAACTGCTAATGTTTGAGTGTTTCCAGTTCCCAGACAGGATTTATCTTAGGGGAATCTGAAAGTCTTTATCAAGAGGAGTAAGACAGGTGTCTGGGTATATGCTTAGGGACATCAGCCACTGTCCCTTCTCCTCCTCACACCTGTGAATCTGTGCACACTCACACTCTCTCCCACCACTGATGGGGTCTTTGGGAGCCCATCATACCAACACTGTACTTCATCCCACAAAGAGCTTGAAGGATGGTAAAGTTTCCCAGGGGTGTTTAACAGGTATGAGAGATAGACAGAGGAGAGTTTTGCTCTCTCTTGTAGTTTTGTAGTCTCTCGTGTACTGTGCTCTTCATACAGGAATTTGCACACAGGGTATGATTCTGTCTCTATTTGCTGTTTAGTTAGTGTGCAATACCACATGAGAATAGTAAGAAAATACCAGGCCTTTTCCAGGGGCAGGAGAAAAGATTGACCCAATAAATTTTTATTTTTCCTTAATATTTCCTTTTGTCTTTGCTTTTCTTCTCTTTTTTTCTTTTATCTTTCTATTCCAAGTGGGAGACAACAGAAAAAAAAAGGCAAGATTTTTGATTCAGGGGAGAAGCACAATGGAAAAACAGCCCTATGAAATGCACACCTGGGGCTGGTAGCAAACTCCACATTGAATTAAATCTACAAATCTCTAAGCACTCAGAGCTGCACAACAGGTTCCCCCTTGGGACAGTTACTCCTTAGTTCACTTCGAGACCCACTCCACACCCTGAAGCATATGGAGAGAGCTTACTTACTCATTGCTTTATTTGAATGGCAAAACATAGGCACTCTTCTAATTTACAGTGACAGTTAAACTACTTTTATCTGTCTAAACTACACATGGCAGCAGTTAGCTCCACAGGTTCTCCTTTGCTTACCAGTATTGAAAGCATCGACTTTTCTAGGTCTGTATTCTGACATTTTTGTAGATACTGACACTGTATCAGCGCTTCGAGGCTGGGCCTGAGTCCCTGTGCTATCACAGGTGTTACTGCAGCAGGTGCTGGTCTGGCTCTCTGCGCCCAGGTCACACCAAGCACCTACATGTGGGGGGCTCAGCCATGGGCGGCACTGGCTCACCCCTCCCTGCTGATGCTGTCCCTGGGTGCTGGAGTCTGTGCTCTGTCTGCCACTGAACTCCAGCTGGGACCAGCATGCCAGAGGGAGCTGGACAGTCAAGAAGCTGTGCTGCCCACCCAGATGGGGAATTTTGCAGTGACAGCCCCTCTTCACTGGGAGGGGAGCACTTCCCACTCCACCACACTGCTGCAACACCAGTCTGTCCCTACCTGCCAGGCTGCACTGTCTGCAGCAGTGGAGGCCCACGTTTCTTCCCCAACACTCCCTAGCACCCTTCAGTTACAGGATTTGTCTTAAAAGAAAGGAAGAAAATGTTCACCAAATCCAGGCTGTGGTTTGCAACAAACAACTATTGCTCTTCCCCTTCTCCTGAGGCTACTGAGTGCAGACACAGCCCACCTGCCTCTTCTGGGCCAGACAGGCAGAGATGTGGTTTAGCGTCAAATACTCATGGCTGTGTCAGCAAGACCTGAGCCCCATGCACACATGTGCACCTCCACAAACCCCGACTGCCCACGTGCTCCCACCCACAGGGCACACACCTGCACTGTCTTCTACATGCCACGGGCTCCAGGGCATTTTTCCCTGGACACACAACTGCTGCCCTACTTTCTTCCACTACCACAATAGCTTTGTGTCAAATTAAAGTGCTAATGTTGGCCAACAGTGCCATACATGTGTTTACTTCTCCACAAGACCAATATCTTCAAGGTTACGGCGCAGGGAATTGCCAGAGCTGCAGCTCCTACGCAGCCCTGGGTACCCCACCCCTCCTAAGCTGGCCCTGGAACCACCCAGGACAGGACCTTCCTCTGTCCTTTGGGAAGGGAGGTGGGTGTGGAGGAGGCTGGTGCTGCACTGGCTGTGCACAGTGCTGGTGCTGCAGCTGTTGGCAGCTGGGACAAGTGAACGTCATGAGCATTCCCGTGCCTCAACAGCGTGGCACTCTATTTCAGGGGGACAGCCACCTGGGTCTGGTTGACTTTTATGTAACCAGCAGGCAATGGCAGGTCAAGCACACTCAACAAATTTCCCTGGTATCCACAGAGTTGACTTCACTCTGTAATAGATGGATTTATATTCACTTAAAACTGAAAAGCCTTTGTAGATGTTTTAAAGAGTTACCATATCAGGCATGATCTTTGTCTAGCCTGAGCAAAACATTCCTGCTGTCTCTTGACTACAGTGTGTAACTGAATTCATATCCAATTAATTTGGCCACATTCCTTCTAGAAACATTTTCCAGACCTGCTCTTTGTTACTTCCTCTCTGTAAGGTTTACTTAAGACTTCTCTTGGAGTAAGTTTTGTTAGAAGACTTATGACATTCACAATTTAAAGCTACCTTGTGGAGATCTTTTTTTAAGGTTTAATAATTCATCCAGAAGAGTAAACAATCCTCATATGTGCTAACTTTGATAAGAAAGTACTGCAGATGAAACACTTCAAATTAGTACAAGAGAGATTCAAGGCAGTCGTTTGAAAAACACACTCCCCAAAACCCCAGGGCTATGCATTGCAGACCTGTGCTGAGGCTTCCTTGAGTTTTGGTTGCTGCATTTTAAATAATTAAAAATCCTCTTTAGATTATTTTATGGGTTGCATTAGTTTAGGGGTGGAGGGAGGGGGGAATTTTCTAAGTGCCGTGTTTTCCTATTTGTATTCACAGTACTTAACTCTTTCAGTTTCATTGTGTGTTCTCCAGATTACAGAAAATAAAAGATACAGCTGGGAAGGTTTAGGATTGAGAGGAGTTCCTGTGGCTACTTGTCACAACAGAAATCCCCAATTTTGGTTTCAATGGGCTCCCTTCCCTCCAGACTTCAACCGTCTCTGACCTGAATTCTTTTCTCTACTTGGACATAACAAGGTATGGAAGGAGCATCCTCACTTCTGCTCATGACGATCTTGAACCCCTCTGTCCCTGTCAGAGACAGAGACTTCTGGAGCACACCACAGCAACATCTTCCTGCCTTCACAGGGAAACCACTACCAGCACCTTCAGACAGCTGGTGAATTTTTTTGCTAAGCAGAGATTGATTCACTTGGGCAATATCTCAGCTTCTCCTCTAAGGACAACCATTTACAGTTCAGTGGGCGAAATACACATGTTCCAGATATTACCACAGATAAGACAGTTGTGACAGCAAAGTCACAGACAGCAGATTTTTATTGATTTTCAATATGGTTCCCTAAAAACCGGAGAAAGACCTGTTTGGCCCTTGGAAGTGGCCGACTTTTTTTATAGGAAAAGAGATTTTCCTATTAAGTTAGACATACATTAAATACCTCATGTCTCCTGACTCCCACAAATGCTTCCTCACACCCATCATTTCAGGACAGGTTTTTCTTCTAACTCTGAACTCTGTAATTAAATGTGAACTTAAAAGTACCAGGCAAGCATCACTAAAAAAGACAGACACTTTTACCCTGGTGAAGGCAACAGATCATGGATTTTTACAGATATGAGGTGCATTTTGTGTAATTGCATTACCAGGAGAGTTTGTGAGACTGGCCACTGTGCAGTTTTCTATTGTCTTTTTAAGGTGTCAGATCAGCTGAGTGTGTGCCGGGGCCTTTCTCAGCAACAGGCAGCTGAAGACAGTCCTGCTGACCAGAAACCTGCTCATGTTTCTGTCTGACACAGCATTTGCTGGCCCATGTTCCCTGGAGTATCTTAACACAGACAGGAATAACATATTCTTTATTCTAGTGACAAATCTTGACAGCTTAGGTATCTTCATCTTGCACAGAAACCACATCTCTTCACTGCAGCTTCCTCCCAGCTTTCCCACTCCAAACCTCAAATGCCTTGGTTTTCAAACAAATGGCATACAAGCAATCACAGCAGAAGATGTCCAAGCTCTGCAGAAGACCAGCTATGTGACTCTCATCCTTAAAGGCAATGACATTACACACATTGAACCTGGATCTTTTCAGTGCCATTTCTACAGTTTGGACTTGGTGGGCTGTGCTGACATCCCTGGGGTCCTGGCAGGGATACAGAACTCCACAGCCCAGACCCTTTGGCTGGGAACATTTTACGGTGTGGAAAAGGAGCTATACATGAGCCCAGATATTTTACAAGGCCTCTGTAGTATCTCTGTCAAGGATCTCTATCTGCAGTTATGGCACTTCAGAAATCTGAATGCTGACACATTTCAGTGCTTAACCAGGCTCCAAAAGCTGGACCTAACCCAAACCCGCATCCATGCACTGCCCCCTGGCATCAGTGGCATGAGCTTACTAGAGGAGGAGATGGTTCTCAAATGCAAACTGCTTTGAGCACCTCTGCAACACCAGCTCTGCTGCCTTCCCCTCCCTTACCTGCTTCCACATCAAGGGTAACTCACAGGTTCTGCAACCAGGCTCTGGCAAAGCTTCAACATCTAGATTTAAATCAGAGTCACACTGAAAGTTCTGACTGCTCTAGCAAAAGGCTGAGAGCTTTGAGCAGATCTCATTACCTGCATCTGAGCCACAACACACACTCCCTCTCCAGGACAGTGCTAGCCTAGAGCTGCTGGACTTACCCTTCATTCCTCTCCATATCAGCTCTTCACAGAGTCCTTTCCAAGACCTGCATCTCTAGCAAGTGATGAATCTTTCCTTGTCCCACATTAATACTAGCATTAGTATTAGTATTTTCAAGCATCACTTTCAGGGCTTGAAAAACCTCATGTTCTTGGATCTTAGTCAAAATAACTTTGAGTTGGGGATCATGCCAAAGGACAAACTGTTCTAACAACTATCCAATTTAGAGGTGCTAATATTATCATCCTGTGAACTGACAGCAGTAGGTAACCAAGTATTTCACAACCTCAGGAAGTTACAGCATGTTGACCTGAGTGACAGTAAATTTACTGCATTCAGCACAGATACATTTTCAAATTTCAAGAGTATTTATCTCAATTGTGCCTATAACAGGATCCACATTGTACCAGATGACCAACTAGTGCCCCTGGACGGCCACTGCATAATCAATTTAAGCTACAACCTCCTGGACTGCAGCTGCTCTAAGATTGATTTAATCACCTGTTACAAGCAACTTCTGGATAAAATTGAAGACTCTGAAGGAACAAGGCACTCTGAACCCAAATTGGGTTCAGCTGGCCACCATCTCACTCTCCGGTGGTAAGGACACGTCAGCAATCATTGCAGTTGTAGTGGCTGTTTTATCCTGTAGTGCCATTTTCATTTGGGGTGCTCACTATTTCAAGCAAAATTATCAGCAACTATAAGTCTAGGATGTAGAAAATATCTACAGCAGCTGTATTAAGATGAAAGACATCTCACTGTTTTTATTTGTGACATGTATTTTCTTAACTTTTGTAATACGCTCTCTACCTGTATTAAAACTTTTAGAAAAATAATGAACAAATTAGAATTGAAAAGATAAATTATGACCTGGATCTTGAAAATTAGTAACTTACCTTATAGAGAAATCCCAGTGCAACTCAATGGTAGCCCTGTTGTACTAGTACTGTGGCTAATGCACTTGGAATATCCAACAGCCAAAATACAAATTTCCTTCTCTTTAAAAAAAGAAAACCTAACCTCCACCAATCCCAAAAAGGAAAACAAAACAAAAAAAAAAAACCCATAAAACCAACCAAACAACCCAAACAAAACTCATCCAAACAAAAAAAAAAACCCAACCAAATTCCACCCTCTATCAAATACTCCTGAAAAGCAGTATTTTATAAGAGCTGGCAGTAGTGTACCCCACTCTGCTAAAAAAAACAACTAAAACACTACTTGTGTTAAAGGTCACATAAGACATGCCTGCAGGACTGGCAGAAACAGCATGTATCACCTCTATGATTTTTAAAAATTTCTTTAAAATATTTTTGATCCTTAGAGAGCTCCTGGCCATTGAAATTCTGACTATTCATCTTTTAGCCTGGGGCAGACCCTGCTCCTGTGCTCTTTTCTAAACTCCACAGTAAGTACAGACAGAATGATTCTTAACCATAAAAATGTGGATTTGTGGGTCTAATCTGTGGGTCTGATACTCTGTTTGCTTGCACAGGGCAAACCCCCTCAGTTCTGACAGATATGAGCCATTCCTTTGCCAGCCTGGAGTGGACTGTTCCTTTCAGCCAAATCCCAGATGAGAAAACTAGAGGCTGCAAAGTGGGCAGCACACTGGACAAACCCATCCCACACATGCTCCTGGTGCCAGCAGCTGCTTCACATCGAAGTGAATTCAGGGACAACAATCCCTGCTTCAGCTGGATATGCAACATCTAGGCAGGAATAAAGACTTATTATTTATATAAAACCAAATTGTTTTCTCTGCCATCATGTGTGAATAAACCCAGAGCAAGGCATGTATGTGCATTGGACCAAGGATCAAATGGGAGGTTGTCAGGCCTACTCATCTGCCCTGTATCACCATAAAGTCATCTATGTTTCCTTAGCAACAGGCTTACCCTGATGAATAGACACAACTTGCCTGGTGGTATGACCTTCCTGTCTCCTGGAGCATGCACCACGGGGAGGCTCGCCCAGTACCGCTCTCTGTCAGGCTGCACTGCGGTTCCTTTCTGAGATGTGGAAGGCCATCTCTCTCTCAACCCTTCCCATGCAGGACCCCCACATTCAGCTTCAGCTACTGTCTGAAGGCATTTCCTCAACATTTTCCTCTCTAACATGCTGACTAACTAAAATTTCAATGATTCCTGCTGGACTAGAAAGTTTTTGCTCATTCTCAAGAACCCCTAATTGATCTTCTCCAGTAAGAAACGCCTCTCATTTGGAAAGCCCCTTTTACCATCTGTTAGCAGAACAGACTCATGCAGTATGTATTTTTGCAGCTTTCAGATGCCTTTACATCACATACATCACTACCCCCAGCTTTTCCTCCTCCTGACTCCACAGCCGCGTGCTCCCCAAGGGCACGCAGGGAGAGATGTTTGCTGTCCAGTTGCCTACAGACACTCCCAGATTTGGCATACTAAAATGTTGCCTCTATACTGCAGGTCCATGTTCCCTGTCTGAGTGTCTGCTGAAGACTCCTCCTGATGCAATGGGCAGGTGCTGTGTTCCAGCTGCCCAACACGGGAGCTGCATGGGCTGCCTGCCCTCCTGCAAGGGCTTGGCTACAGGAGAGAACCGTCCCTGAGCAAACCATGCTGCTCGAGCTGAGCACACCCTGGAGCAAGGCAGGGACATTCCTGAACTCCGCCCAAGGTTCAAGGTGCATTTTCCTCTCACTCTGCAAATCCAATTGATTAAATGAGCAACCTCCAATATCTTAAAAATCCAGCATGACTGCCAGTGTATGTTCCACCCAAGAAAGACTTGCTTCTTCCATTGTTTCCCTCTTTAAAGTGGTGGGTTTGGGAAGGTGTTAGACCTTACTGACATCAAAAGGGAGCGGAACACACTCCAAGGGCACCAAAAGCTACAAGTATCAGCTGGTAACTGTGGGAGATCCACGTACAGTAGTGACTGAAAAGGGAAAACTGCATGTTGGGCTGAAAGGTGTTCTGAAATGCCCTTTTGTTTGGAGAGAATACCAGAGAATGTAACCACCACCAGTTTCTGAAATGCTATCCTGTGTCATGGTGTAGACTCAGGTGTAGACTTCAGTTAAAACTCAGACGTTTGAGAAGGCAGAAGGTGCTTCCTGTGCCATTACGTATCTCCACAGAGAGTATAATGGCTTTCTTGCAATCTATCCCTTGCCCCCCATACAACTTGTTTTAGATGACCATATCTTCAGGTGTTCTAATTTTACTTTCTTTATAGTGTCATCTCTGCTCTATTTGCCTGCAAAAACACCATTCATAAGACACTGTGCAAACAATGCTGAACAGCATATGCTATGTATTTCAAGATACACAAACCCTAAATACAGGGACTGACTATTCCGAAGGAAAATTTATCTCTGGATATAATACACTAAAATATCCAGATTATGTACTAAGACTTTGTTAAATTCAAAGATTTAGTCTTCTGGGATTACTTAGTAAGGATGCATGGGGAAAGAGGCAATACATTTTTTCTTACAGAATTGTGTACCTAGTCAGTCTCTGATGTGATGATGCACTCTTTTGGCTTCCAGTCATGCCTTTTCTCTCTGATACTTTTCATATATGTCTATGCAGCCAGAACACAGAGAGAACAAGAGAATTGTCTGAGGTGAATGGTGCCTAACAAGATTTAGCTTACCACCACCCTAGCTCCTGGACTACACATCCCTGGAAGTCACAGTACAACTCAACACCACAACACAGAATTTATCAGTATTTACAAACAGAAGGAACTTGATCATATCTTCATCACTTCAAAGACTGGTAAGCACTTAGCTTTATTCCACCAGGACAAACTCATAGCCAAGCTCTGCTTTCCCTAACTGTGCTTAAACAAGGTCTCTCATTAAGATACAAGTGAATTTTTGAAGGGGCATTTTACTCTGAACAAGGTGGTTGAGTGGGCAAATTTCTACATATGTTGACTTCACAAAACACACCCTGATGTCACTGGAACATTTTTTAAGAACTCTCTCATTCATTGGTCTTGTCTGTACCTGGAGAAAGAACAGGTGAGGTTCCTTCCCAAACAACCTATACTATACCTGCCTGATCAGACAAAAACAATTGAAATTCTTCTCCCCCAGTAGCAGAAGACATCTTTCCCTACCAAACCCCTTGGACATCCTCTTCCCCTTCAGATCTGCATTTCTTAAGGCATAATGTGCACTAGAGCACAACCACACCATTACTGTCTTCTTACTCTGCAGTCTTTTCAATTCCTCCTGATGCTGCCAAATTTTGCCTCTTGAACTATAACCTTTAGCATCTCTTCCTATCCACAGTGGTTGGAACTTCAAGGTCCCTTCCAACCATTCTGTGATTCCTAAACTCATTTCAATCAAATGCATCCTTGGCAGGTAGCCGGAAGATTGATTTGGTCAGTTCTAATCCGCTACTATACTACAGTCAATGGAAAGAAAAACTTGCTAACTCAAGGCATGCAGTGGGAAATGTAGCCATACACCTCTAGTATCTTCCTTTCCTGTGATCTTTTCCTTCTGATCTGCCCTTTCAGTTTTGATTCAAATCAAGCTGGACATCCCTGTGAAGCACTGCAGGCTACGTAAGACTGCAAGAAGGAGCCTAAGGGGGGTTAGCAAACTGAGAGAGTTCAGTGCTGAAGAAGAGAGCTCACATTCCCCTTCAGACCATGGAAGCATTCCCATCCCAGGTAAGGTGAAAAAGTGAAGGTGACAGACCATGACAGATATAACACTGGTAACTCAAATCTCCCAACTTCCCCCTTAACACTAACTCCATACATACTCCACCCCTTCCCCCTGGCTCACAACACTCTGGGGACTCTTTGCCTCTCCTGGCAGAGACAACTGTGCTGTCCACAGGCAGAGACAGCACAGCCAGCAGAGGCATGAGACAGTCAACCCTCAACTCTTGTCATTTCCTTTCCCTCAGCTGCTGGATACTGCTCCTTTTCTCATCACCCCCAACCAGCACACTGGATTTTCAAGACTATCTGCCTTCTGGGGGGCTGCAGCAAATTGGAAAAGTTGGAGGTGAACTGCAGCTTCCCCTCACCTGTATGTTCCAAACAGAGAGAAAAGCAGCAAAAGTGATGCTGTAACACTGCTGCACTTAGTTCTGTGCAGTGGAAAAATACAGAGAAAATAACACAATAATAAAATGTGAACACAAATTCCCAGCTGCTGGGCAGCTCTGCAGAGTTAGGAGCAGTGGAACAGTACTTTAATATGTGCTCTCCTATAGAATGAATGATGATACGTCTTTTGCAGGAATTTAGATGTCGCATTAAGGGCTACTGCCCGTAGAAGCCGGCAGTCAGGCTATGCCATCCACCATCACACCACACTTACCTATCCAACAGTGGAGCACAGACACAGCCTAAGATTAGATACTCAGCCATGCATACTTCCTCTGTCCCTAGACCAAACTGCATTTCCTCATGCAAAACCCTCCACCAGCACATGCCCTAAAGGGTGCACAGAGCTGGCCCCAAAAACCAACAAAAATGCCAGCCTCTGAGTACAGCAGAGAAGTGCCTTACATTACAGCAGTGAAAGCAGCTCAAGAAAAATGCAAACACAACAGTTTCATGCTGAATTTTTATTTCAATGTTATGCAACTGCATAAGTATAAATAATTGTGTTCAATATATAACAATTATGACATCCATAAGGAGTTTCTCAGAGAAAATAAGACTGCAAACACTTTATTGCACA